TCATATCGACTTTCAAAAAAATTTTTTTTTTAACCTAAAACAATGAGGGGAAAATGGACTACCTCTGCACCGCCACTCTGCTAGATGGCGCCGTGGAGCCTTTTTACTGTACAGCCCATCGCAATCTCTGTAGTGGAAGCAGTCACAGTGGAAGATGTGAACTGACACGTATCATATCGCAACACCCATGCCAATACTCATCCCTACTGTGGGAGTGGGTTTCGAGCTCACAACCGGTGACAGGTGGCCAATAGAGGGCGCCAGAGTGCCTCCCACCCATCCAATGACCCCAATTAAGACATAAAAAATATATATTTTAATTTAATTTTAAACATTTAATATTTTGAAATATATTATTATGTATTTCTTAGATGTACAAGATAAATATTTATTCTTTAATGACTAGTAAAGCATCATTCAATTTTTTATTATGTATTTCCGTCCAAGGGCACAAAAAAATTAGCAGAAAGTGGGAACTAAAGTTGTACATGCGCAGTAGTTTGTATAGGAGGCTCGGTAAGCAGCTAAGCAGCGACCTGTGGTGACAGGAAGTGTATCTAATCACCACCCCGCCACAGCGCAGACGTTTTGCAGGTGATTGACGTGGGAGCTGGAGACACGTTGGAGAGAGAGAGAGAGAGAGAAAGAGAGAGAAATGGCTCAAGAAACATCCTTTTTCCAGGACCTGGTTTAGCTATAAGGCTAGGCTAATTGCATGCAGTGAGGCTAAAGCTTTATTCTGCTTTCTCTTTTTCAAACCCAGCATGGATAAAGATAAAGGTAGGACTGATTTAAAGCACTTTTCAGAAAAGGCAAAGAAGAAAGAACAATCAGGGATTCACATGATAATAATATAATATAGTCTACTTTTAAGTGTTTATTTATTTTCATTGTTGCTCTTAAATAAACACATCCCCGGAAAATAAATACAGGGTTTATACAGGAATGAATAACACAAATTGAATGCTTTTAATGCTCTTTTAATTCTCCTAGAAATAATTTTAATGCCACCAACAGGTAACCGTCGACAGGCTGCAGCCATGCCCCGAATTCCTCGTTTTTCCAACCACTTTTGTTGAAATTTGCTTTTTTCCCCCCAGTCTCTAGCCTTTTCTTCGACTCAAGCTTCTTTTCTGAACTTACAGCTTTGCGATCAACCGGAGGCATGTCCACGCAAATATATCATGATATAATATGTCTGACGAAATTGTTTTTATAAACATTTTTTTTAAATAAAGCATTTTGAATGCCACAATAAACACATTTAATGAATTTTAATGCCAATTAAGGCCTTAATTTTAAAAAATAATAATTTAATGACTTTTAATGATTTTT